ACCTGGTTTAGACCTGGTTTTAGTCCTGGTTTAGTCCTGGTTTAGACCTGATTTAAACCTGGTTTAGACCTGGTTTAGACCTGGTTTAGACCTGGTTTAGACACGTGTCATATTTGAAGTTTTACTGTGTCTGCTTCGGGGTTTGAGGAGCTCCGCGTGGCTCCGCGTGGCTCCGCGTGGCTCCTGGTGGTTTTCAGATGTTTTTTTGTTCTGGTTTTGGTTTTGAGTCGTGTTTGTGAATCTGCCCGGGGGCCGCAGATGGAGACGAGCTTTGGCTAAATCTGGAGTAAAGCATCTCGTCTTTAAAGAGATTATTGTGTTTACACGCGGTCGGAAAAGGAGAATTATCAACGAAAAGAGAATCGTACCTGAAGAAGAGCAGAGAGTCAGAGCGCGACCGCTGTGAAACGACAAGAAAGAGAAGAAAAAAAAAAGACCGAAAGAAGAAGTGAAAAAGCCCCGACCACGTGATACACACACACACACACACACACACACACACGTCAGCAGTCCTCGTCAGTCCTGGTTTAAACCTGGTTTAGACCTGGTTTAGACCTGGTTTAGTCCTGGTTTAGTCCTGGTTTAGACCTGGTTTTTAGACCTAGTTTAGACCTGATTTAAACCTGGTTTAGCTCTGGTTTAGTCCTGGTTTAGTCCTGGTTTAGACCTGCTTCAGTCCTGGTTTAGTCCTGGTTTAGACCTGATTTAAACCTGGTTTAGCCCTGGTTTAGTCCTGGTATAGGCCTGATTTAAGCCTGGTTTAGTCCTGGTTTAGCTCTGGTTTAGTCCTGGTTTAGTCCTGGTTTAGCTCTGGTTTAGTCCTGGTTTAGTCCTGGTTTAGATCTGGTTCAGACCTGGTTTAGCTCTGGTTTAGTCCTGGTTTAGTCCTGGTTTAGTCCTGGTTTAAACCTGGTTTAGACTAATTTGTTTTTTTGTTTGACATTAAAACAGAGAAATGAAATACACAGTTTTCATATTTTATTTAATTTTTTTTCATTCTTAATTGAAATTTACAAGAACGATTGGTACTAAGACCATTTAGTGAGTTTTAAATTAAACATTTATAAATCCCCCCTTTTTCCCCTCACACTCGTCTCTTTCCCTCCGTCTTTCCCTCCGTCTTTCTCTGTTGGACGCTGATGATTCGCTCTAGTTTTAGCGTTAGTTTCCTGTCGCGCTCACCTGTAATTTGCGGCGGCGGAGCTGCGGGCGGCGGAGGATAATGACGGAGGTTAACACGCTGAGATCCTCCGTTTATCAAATTAAGTGCGTGATACAGTGTGGAGCCCGGCGGATCTGAGACGGGAGAAGAAGGAGCTGAGGGGACGAGGGGACGACGAGCGCAGACGGGAGCGACATTCACAACACGGAACACGGACCAGATCAAGTTCACGAGGATTAACAAGAAGATAAACTATTTTCTTCATTATTTGTCTCCAAAACCTAAACTGAACCAGGTTTAAACCAGGATTAAACCAGGTCTAAAAAAGGTCTAAACCAAGTCTGAATCAGGTCTAAACCAGGACTAAACCAGGTCTAAAACAGGACTAAACCAGTTCTAAACCAGGACTGAACAAGGATTAAACCAGGTCTAAACCTGGACTAAACCAGGGCTAAAAAAGGTTTAAACCAAGTCTGAATCAGGTCTAAACCAGGACTAAACCAGGACTGAACAAGGATTAAAACAGATCTAAACCAGAACTAAACCAGGTCTAAAACAGGACTAAACCAGGTCTAAAACAGGTCTAAACCAGGACTAAACCAGGACTGAACAAGGATTAAATCAGGTCTAAACCAGGACTAAACCAGGACTAAACCAGGAACAAGATTAAAACAGGACTAAACAAGGACTAAACCAGGTAACCAGGACTAAAACCACTAAAACAGGAACACTAAACCAGACTAAACCAGGAGTAAACCAGGACTAAACCAGGTCTAAAACAGGACTAAACCAGGTCTAAACCAGAACTAAACCAGGAGTAAAACCAGGACTAAACCAGGACTAAACCAGGTCTAAAAAAGGTCTAAACCAAGTCTGAATCAGGTCTAAACCAGGACTAAACCAGGTCTAAACCAGGACTAAACCAGGACTTAACAAGGACTAAACCAGGTCTAAACCAGGACTAAACCAGGACTGTACAAGGATTAAACCAGGTCTAAACCAGGACTAAAGAAGCTTTAAAACATTTCAAATCTCTTCTAAACGCGTCACACAACCCGGGGTTAGTAACTGTTGTAAAATGTGAGCGTACATTTTGTTTGAGTAAAACGATCTGTGGTGGTGAAGCCGCATCAGCGCGTGCGTCAGACGGAGTTACATCTGCGCCGGACTCGTGATGTGGAAGGACTGTACGTCTCCAACCGGAGCGTGGACATGTCCAGATGTGGTGGGACGGTGAAGCCTGCGCAGATGTGTTCACTCATGTGTGGACTCGCATCACTGCCACGTCACTGCTCACACGCAGAACAATGCACCGACAACCATCTGCGCGTGGACTTTAAAGACAAACTGAGACGTGAAATCAGCCTCGTGGAGCTTTTGACCGTGTTATAACCAAACACCGTATAGCAGGGGTTTCAAACTCAAATTATCTGGGGGCCACATTAGATAAAGTCTGAGTGAGGCTGGGCTGCACTGAGTATTCGATAAATAGGGGTTGCACGAAAAAAAAAAAACGCTGTATGTGCACATGTACTCGTATTAACAGATCCACTTAGACTCGTTGCTTCACAACTGCTGTAAGTTGAGTTTTGGGATGTAAACTGTGTTAATAATCTGTTGTTGTGAATCTGCATGGGCACCGATTGCAGCTTCATCTGTCAGTGCGGCCCGCGGTCGGGGGGTAGTTTGTGCGTACATCTACCACAGGCATTGACCTTATTTATTGGGATTAAGTGGAGGGCCGCAAAAAATTCTTCTGAGGGCCTGTTACGACCCAGCTCGTTTGGGGTGAGGGAAGTAACAAAAATAAAACCAAGATGTAAAATGGAATAAATTAAGTAATGTTTAATTAACAGGAATGTAAAGGTAACTTAACAAAACACTAAAAATATACAGAAAATAACCTAAACCTAGAAACCAACAGAATAAACAGAGTTTTGTGCCAGAAAAGGGGTCACGCAGGTACACAAAAACAAGTGGTAAAACTTAGGACACACACTAAACTAAACACAAGTTCCCCAAATTAAACCACATAAGCCCACACAGAATCGAGTGCATCAAAAAAGGCACAAAACAGAATGAGACTAAACTACATACACAAAACCAAAATGGAGACTGGCCACCAAGGCCAGCAGCCCCGAACAGGTGCTGGAATCTCCTTTAGGGATGGCTGCAGTGAGTGGCGTCGACTTGCCCCACCAATCACAGACCAGGACTCCTGCAGCAGGAATTAGGAGAAAAAAATCAGCGAATTAAACCTCTGTAACAGGGCCGCAGTTGGCCCCCGGGCCGCGAGTCTGAGACCCCTGCCATATAGAAATGAACACAGAGAACCCACTAGACCAGGGGTGTCAAACATCCGGCCCTCCAAGACCTTTAATGTGGCCCTCAGCTGATTTTGTACTAAAAATATTTAATTATATTTTTCTATTAAAATATTGTTAATTTTCTGTGGTGTTTATCACAGCAGCGTCTCCAGCGTCTCTGTACGTGGCCCCTCCCACCAGAGCAGCACAAATGAAGACTTGTCTCTTTCCAAACGCTCTTAAAGGACGATCGTTTTGACTGTTGACCGTGACACCCTCATCAGAAAAATGTCCAACATGAGAAAAGTGGAGCCGAGTGCAGGATTTTACAACAAAAATTGACTTATTCCTGTTTACATACAAGTTCATGTCAAAACTTTTGTGTTGAAATTGTATTTTTCTTAAAGTTTCAGGTTGTTCATAATATTATTATAATAAAATTTTGTAAAAGAAAGAGTTCATCAATTAAAAAAGATTTCTGTAATAGATTTGCCTTTCTCTGCACACATAATTGAACTTATTGTTATTTTTCATTATTATTATTATTATTATTATTATTATTATTATTATTGTTTATGATTTAATATTATTATTTATAATTTTTTATATTTAGTTCATATTAAGTTTTATTTATTTTTATTTATTTATTTAAAATTATTTACTTTTTTTTTATTTGCACAAGAAGTGGTTTAACAAAGACTTTTAGTATCACAGCCATGATTTAGCCTTTATTTTTACTGAATTTTTTTGTTGGTTGTTCAGAGGAAAGAAACTCTTTTATGTGACACATTTGACATTTTCACTGTTTGATGATTAAAATGTTTATGTTTCATATTATTATTATTTTATTATTATTATTATTATTTATTGTTTATGATTTTATATATTATTATATATTTTTTTTTTATATTTATTATATTTATTATTTATTAGTTTATTATTATTTTATTTTTATTTATTTTTATTTTTATTTATTTATTTTACTTTTTTTTATTTGCACAAGAAGTGGTTTAACAAAGACTTTTAGTATCACAGCCATGATGATTTAGCCTTTATTTTTACTGAATTTTTTTTTGTTGGTTGTTCAGAGGAAGGAAACTCTTTTATGTGACACATTTGACATTTTCACTGTTTGATGAATAAATGTTTATGTTTCATTTGAACTTTTATTTATTATTATTATTATTATTATTATTATTATTATTATTATTGTTTTTTAATATTTTTATATTTAGTTAATATGAATTTGTATTTATTTATTTTGTATTTATTATTATTATTATTAGTTTATTATTTATTTATTATTTTTTATATATTTATTTAATATGAACTTTTATTTATTTATTTATTTATATATTTACTTTTTTTATTTGCACAAGAAGTGGTTTAACAAAGACTTTTAGTATCACAGCCATGATTTAGCCTTTATTTTTATTAGAATATGTATTGTATCAGTCCAGTGAGGTTCGTTTGGTCTTCTGATCATTTATATTATTAGGTTCTATTTTCAGACCAAGAGTTTGTTTTCATACCTGACAGTTTCGGCTGCTCCCTGCGCTCTCCCTCAGAGTCTCGTGATGTTTCTGTGACGTGTCCAAATCGTCCGTTTCCGACACTGTAAAAGAGAGAAGCACATCGTGGATCAGGACGGAGCAAACATCACTGGGACAGAGGAAAATAAACACTGTCACTGGATTAAAGAGGCAATCGAAATACAGAAACACTCTGCTGGACCATGCTGACAGCGCCCCCTGTGGATCCATACGAAAAACAGTAGTTGTAGTTGCCGTTCACGGAATAGAAACGAGTCAAACACGAATAATTCACTCTAAATAAAACTCTGAGCAAATAGACAAGGGAAAGCCATTATAACATACTTAAAACCTCAAAAAAGTCTGTTTAGTAAAGTATGTCTCCTTAAGGACTCCATCTGCTCCAAGTGCCAATAACAAAGCTCATTAGCTCCAGTGCAGACATTTTAATAGCTGAACTGTGAAGATGTATGGACTTTAAAAACCTGGAGGAGCAATTAAACTAAACTAAAGGCGCTGTTTATGATTTCTACTGTCTTAAAAAACAAACAAAACCATTCTGATTATTCACCGTGATCTGTTTATCATTTGTTCATTTGTTTTTCAATATAAAACCAAAAATAAGAAAACGAAAGATCAACAAGTTTTCTTCATTATTTGTCTCCAAAACCAAAATTAAAAAACAGATAATGATTCGTTTTTTTTTTTTTTTTCAGTTTTCGATTTTGTGTTTAAATTAAAAATGGAAAAAACACATAAAGGCCGTTTCCCGTTTACGTGATTTCAGTGGCTGCGATACCGTATTTTTGCGCTGCATACGGACTGAACCAGGACTGATCCAGGTCCAGGACCAGGGTGGGACCAGAGCGGGACTCTGACCTTTGACTCCGAGCCTCAGCTTTGAGCTCCGGCCCTGCCGTGGGCTCTGAGCCTCCGGTCTGGTCCCGGCCTGGTCCTGGTCTCAGCCCTGATCTCAGTCCCGCTCTGGTCCCGGTCTTTTCCCGGTCTCAGTCCCGGTCTGGTCCCGGTCTGGTCCTGGTCTGGTCCTGGTGTTTTCCCGGTCTGGTCTCAGTCTCGGTCTGCTCCCGGTCTCAGTTCTGATCTAAGTCTCGTTCTGGTCCCAATCTGGTCTCGGTCTCAGTCTGGTCCCTCTGGTCTTGTCGGTCTGGTCTCAGTCTCGGTCTGGTCCCGATCTCAGTTCTGATCTCAGTCTTGGTCTGGTCCCGGTCTGGTCCCAGTCTGGTCCTGGTCTGGTCTGGTCTCTGCTGGTCGGTCTCTCGGTCTCAGTCCCGTCTGGTCGGTCTGGTCCCGGTCGGTCTGGTCTGGTCTGGTCCCTCTGGGTCCTGGTCTCAGTCTCGGTCTCGGTCCCGGTCTGTCTCTGTCTCAGTCCGGTCTGGTCTGGTCCGGTCTGGTCCTGGTCCCTGGTCTGGTCTGGTCTGGTGGTCTGGTCCTGGTCCTGGCCTGGTCTCCGTCTCAGTCCTGATTACAATGCTGACACACACTTCCAAGAGAAAGAGTAGAGAGACAGACTGGAGAGAGGAGGAGAGAAAAACAGAGGGGACGAAGGAAGAGAAAGGAGAGAGAGAGAGAAAGAGGGCGAGACACAACAGAGAAAAGGAGAGAAAAGAGAAAGGAGAGAGGGAGAATGAAGAGAAAGGAGAAGGAAAGAGAAACATGGTGCGAGAAAAGGGAGGAGAGAAAGAAACACAGAAACAGAAAAAGAGAAAAGACAAAAAACGTGAGCCAGAGGTGAAGAGAAGGAGAGAGGGATGATGATGAGGAAGAGAGGAGGAGGAGGAGGAGGTGTGGTTCTTAAAGGTTAACGTCGGGAGTGAAGGGGAGAACAGGCACACATCATAATTATAGTTTACGTGTTCGCAGAGACACATGACGGGCACCGGCGAAGAACACACTGGACCGTCACAAATCCATTATAAACGACACGAGCGACGGTTTAATACAGACGATACTGTCAACGGAGCGTCGGCGAAACGCGGGAAAACTGAACGGGACAGGTCGGAATTTTTTGGACGTAGGGCCTCGTTTCCTCGTGAGCCGCAGCGTCGGACACTAAAAACACTCAAACAAATCTGTTATTACACCAAACTGTCCATGTGAATGTTGATAAAATAATGGACTAACCCAGGACTAAACAAGGACTAAACAAGGACTAGGACTCAGGACTAACCCAGGACTAAACTCAGGACTAACCAGGACTAACAGGACTAAACAAGGACTAACTCAGGACTAACTCAGGACTAACCCAGGACTAACCAGGACTCAGGACTAAGGACTAACCCAGGACTAACTCAAGGACTAACCAGGACTAACTCAGGACTAACTCAGGACTAACCAGGACTAAACAAGGACTAACTCAGGACTAACTCAGGACTAACTAACTCAGGACTAACTCAGGACTAACTAACCCAGGACTAAACAAGGACTAAACAAGGACTAACTCAGGACTAGGACTAACTCAGGACTAACCCAGGACTAACTCAGGACTAACTCAGGACTAACCCAGGACTAAACAAGGACTAACTCAGGACTAACTCAGGACTAACTCAGGACTAACCCAGGACTAAACAACAAGGACTAACCCAAGACTCAACAAGGACTAACCCAAGACTAACTCAGGACTAACCCTGGACTAACTCAGGACTGAACAAGGACTAAACAAGGACTAACTCAGGACTAACTCAGGACTAACTCAGGACTGAACAAGGACTAAACAAGGACTAACTCAGGACTAACCATGGACTAACTCAGGACTAAACAAGGACTAACTCAGGACTAACTCAAGACTAACCCAAGACTGAACAAGGACTAGCCTAGGACTAACTCAAGACTAACTCAGACTAACTCAGGACTAAACAAGGACTAACAAGGACTAGGACTAACTCAGGACTAACTCAGGACTCAACAAGGACTAACCCAAGACTAACTCAGGACTAACCCTGGACTAACTCAGGACTAACCCAGGACTGAACAAGGACTAAGGACTAACTCAGGACTAACTCAGGACTAAACAACGACTAAACAAGGACTAACTCAGGACTAACCCAGGACTAAACAAGGACTAAACTAGGACTAACTCAGGACTAACTCAGGACTAACCCAGGACTAAACAAGGACTAACCCAGGACTAACTCAGGACTAACCCAGGACTAACCCAGGACTAGGACTAAACAAGGACTAACCCAGGACTAACTCAGGACTAACCTCAGGACTAGGACTAAACAAGGACTAACCCAGGACTAAACCAGGACTAACCAGGACTAAAGGACTAACCCAGGACTAACCAAACTAGGACTAACTCAGGACTAAACTAGGACTAACCCAGGACTAACTCAGGACTAAACTAGGACTAACTCAGGACTAACTCAGGACTAAACTAGGACTAACCCAGGATTAAACCAGGACCAAACCAGGACTAAACCAGAATTAAACCAGGACCAAACTAGGACTAACCCAGGAGTAACCCAGGACTGATTCCAGGACTATCCCAGAACTAAACCAGGACTGAACCAGGACTCACTGTCAGGACAGGTCCGGGTTTAGATCTAGTTTAGTCCTGGTTTTAGACCTGTTTTAGATCTAGTTTAGACCTGGTTTTAGTCCTGGTTTAGATCTAGTTTAGACCTGGTTTTAGACCTGGTTTAGATCTAGTTTTCCTGGTTTTAGTCCTGGTTTGTTCTAGTTTAGACCCGGTTTTTAGACCTGGTTAGATCTAGTTAGACCTGGTTTTAGTCCTGGTTTTGTTCTAGTTTAGACCTGGTTTTAGTCCTCAGTTTAGTTTCAGTTAGACTGGTTAGTCTGGTTTAGTTTCTAGTTTAGACCTGGTTTTAGTCCTGGTTTAGTTCTAGTTTAGACCTGGTTTTAGTCCTTTAGATCTAGTTTTAGACTGGTTTTAGTCCTGTTTTAGATCTAGTTTAGACCTGGTTTTAGTCCTGGTTTAGATTAGTTTAGACCTGGTTTAGACCTGGTAGTTTAGTTTCCTGGTTTAGTCCTTTAGTTCTAGTTTAGACCTGGTTTTAGACCTGGTTTAGATCTAGTTTAGACCTGGTTTTAGTCCTGGTTTAGTTCTAGTTTAGACCTGGTTTTAGTCCTGGTTTAGTTCTAGTTTAGACCTGGTTTTAGACCTGGTTTAGATCTAGTTTAGACCTGGTTTTAGTCCTGGTTTAGTTCTAGTTTAGACCTGGTTTTAGACCTGGTTTAGTTTAGACCTGGTTTTAGTCCTGGTTTAGATCTAGTTTAGACCTGGTTTTACCTGGTTTTAGTCCTGGTTTAGTTCTGGTTTAGTCCTGGTTTAGTCCTGGTTTAGTTTAGTTAGACCTGGTTTAGACCTGGTTAGATCTAGTTTACCTGGTTTTAGTCCTGGTTTTAGATCTAGTTTAGACCTGGTTTTAGTCCTGGTTTAGATCTAGTTTAGACCTGGTTTTAGACCTGGTTTAGTTCTAGTTTAGACCTGGTTTTAGTCCTGGTTTAGTTCTAGTTTAGACCTGGTTTTAGACCTGGTTTAGATCTAGTTTAGACCTGGTTTTAGTCCTGGTTTAGTTCTAGTTTAGACCTGGTTTTAGTCCTGGTTTAGTTCTAGTTTAGACCTGGTTTTAGACCTGGTTTAGATCTAGTTTAGACCTGGTTTTAGTCCTGGTTTAGATCTAGTTTAGACCTGGTTTTAGACCTGGTTTAGATCTAGTTTAGACCTGGTTTTAGTCCTGGTTTAGTTCTAGTTTAGACCTGGTTTTAGTCCTGGTTTAGATCTAGTTTAGTCCTGGTTTTAGACCTGGTTTAGATCTAGTTTAGACCTGGTTTTAGTCCTGGGTTTAGTTTTAGACCTGGTTTAGACCTGGTTTTAGTAGTTTAGTCCTGGTTTAGACCTGGTTTAGATCTAGTTTAGACCTGGTTTTAGACCTGGTTTAGTCTGGTTTAGACCTGGTTTTAGACCTGGTTTTAGTCCTGGTTTTAGACCTGGTTTTTAGTCCTGGTTTAGATCTAGTTTAGACCTGGTTTTAGACCTGGTTTAGATCTAGTTTAGACCTGGTTTTAGTCCTGGTTTAGTTCTAGTTTAGACCTGGTTTTAGTCCTGG